TSCGTGTTTCAGCAAATCCCTGACCTAGTTGTTTTCCCTCCTGGCCCATAGCCAGGATCGCCACCCCCCTCCCACACCCCTGCAGTGACCCATGTCGATGAGTGGCCTCCAGCGGCCATCAGAGAGGCTTGGGCTGCCGGTCATCTCGGAAACGCAGAAGGTGGGACAAGATCTAGTCTTGGAGCCACTGGTGCCCCTCCTCCTGCCTCTCTCGCTCAGCTGAGCCAGGACTTGTTCTCTTGCAGTTAGCACTTCCTAGGAAAAATGCTCAGGGTTTTCTGACATGCTGCGAAGTATGGAATTGTTGGCATCATCTTAAACATCCTTTATATTCAAATACTGAGGTCACTCTTGATGACCAGTTCTGTCTTCGATTAATAGATAAGATTGCCTCTGTATTTGCAGTATTACCTAAACAATCTATTACTGTTGAGAGTAGCTACAATATTGCAAATACTAAGTTAAAGTTATTTTGTTAACTAAAGTCATTGGCAAATATTTAAGGATGACCAAAGTATATAATTGACAATAAGGAGCAGATAAAAGATAACTGAATTATTTCCTGTAAGTTCTAATGTGCTAAAGAAAGCTTTGTACAATACAGAATTATTTTTWAAAAATCAGATTAACTTTAATTTTACATCATTATAAGCAAGGTTTCAAAGATAGTTGAATGGGAATGGCTAGATTAAAATATAGTCAGAGCATGACGGGAACATTTTACTGCAACCTGAGTTTTATGATTAACATACAGTCTAATAAAACAATGAAGAGCATCTGCAATAGTTGCTGTTGCATTGTAGAGAAAGCAGTCTCCTAATTTGTGGAAAATAATCGAAACCTTTGAATAAGTGTGTGAAGTAGTTAACACACCTCTAGTGTGGAACAATGAGGACCTATGATGAATGTTAACATGTGCCTTGTGATGTTTAGGATTAAAATATAAGGTCTATTGTAGTTTCCTCTATAAATTCAGATTTGTGGGACAAAAAAGAACATACTAGCTGAGTTGTCATCTGCCACATTAGCAATTAATCAACCTGAGGCTATAGAGGGTCTTGATTTTGGATACTGCTGCATCTACTTATATGTGAGAGAGCATCATATATGTTCTCAGGAAATTCAGGAGCATTTCTCAGCCACAAGCAGTTATCAGGTTTTGTGCAGCCAGACAAAGAGCTGAAAAAGCTCTCTCAAAATCTTCCTTCTGCTTATCAGCATCATTTGTGTTTTGCTTGGATTCTGCTTCAACCATCGTTGTTTATCCATGCTCTATTGTGCTGCATCTAAGACTGTTTTAGCAGTGACAAGTATCTTTTTCACTAGTGGAGCTCAGACCGCCAGCAAAGGTCAGTAGTATAATTGTCCTCATTTTAAAGGCAAGAAAATGAATGACTTTAAACCAGATTTGTTGGAGAGTTGAAGTTCTAAGGAAGAGGACAGTCAGTTCAGATTCACACTGTACGTAATGTTGAGCCTACGCTTAAGTTATATGGTGTCCACACTCTTTGGACATTTACACAGGTTGCAGATGTTGTCTAGATCATGTCAGTGGAGAAGCCTGGAATCATTTACTGCTCACTGTTGGTCCAAATTCAAATGTAACTGAATTTGGATGGTATGGATAWCCACAAGGTTATTCATGATTGGCTATTGTATGTCAACCTGTAGTCCTGTAAAACTTTAGTTTGTATCACCAACCAACACAGAGAATAGAATCAGTAGTGGACTCATCCTTGAGTCTGATGAAAGAATATGAAGTAGAGAGGATACCTGAGCTTATCCTAGGCTAAGAATATATGGATTCACCACACATGAGATAAAGACACTCTCTGGATGGACCCTTAGAATGCACAGAACATATTCTGCATTATATATGACATACATTACTGTTATAATACTGTACAGTGTGTGGCCTCTGCCCTGTAATGGAGTCTAACACAACTGCTGCTACCTAGTTGAATTAGTGAGTGATGTTCGGAGGGTTGATGTGACCTTAATGCTTGTAATTGCAGAGGAAAGCACATAATCACAGGCTAGTAAAATATTTGTCTATGGTAGGGTAATTCCATCTAGTTGCCTGTCTAACAGCTGTCAAATGCACTCACATGTGATGCAAACTCCACCATTATATTTGCTGCGTTGTGCAGCAAGGCCAGCTTAGTGTCAAAGTCCTTGTAGATCATATGAGTTTTGTTTTTTTTTTTTTTTTTTTTTTTGTATATCGTCTGATATCGTTGCATCACAGTATCTGTTAAAAGCACCTCTGCAGCCCTGCAGCCCTGTTCCCAAGTCATCAGTGCTGGCTAGCCCATGAGTACTCTTCATGCCCTCTTCCAAACTGCCCTGGGACAGGTTGAGGTCTGAGAGATCTCAGAAGCTTGAATATCAGACACATTTGTGGTGAAAACCAAGGTCAAACATATATGCCTTTGGAAACATAGGGCGTAATGTTTGTCACCAGGTTCGGTATGGGAGAGAGCAGGAATRTTGTTTTTCTTTCCTTTTTCTTTTTAGTTCTTTAGATGGAAGATTTCTCTGAGCTGTTCTGTAATAGCTTTAGGTGGAAAATCATTTCCCACCTTCCAGCAGAAGTATGCTTGGCAAAGAAAGAAGTAGTAGAAGAGCAGCACTTCATACAGTGACTTTCCAAAAGCCAAAATCAAATCCCTTGGGAACACTTTTAACTGATTAAAAAAAAAAGCAGACTTGAAGTTGCTCTGATTAGAGCACTGAAGAACCTCTGGCTATCTGGCTGTTCAGGAGTTTCCTGAGCGACCTAATCACGTAGGACTTTTTCCTCACCTGTCTGGACTCAGTTCAGGTGGGACCATTGATTGCAGCTGTCAGATCCAAGCTCTAGTGAGAAAGAGTATGACCCATATTGCCCTAGAAAGCCAAAAGACTTGTTATTTTTATGAACTGTTCTTCGGGTCAGGAATTCACATTTATTTTTGGTTTATAGCATCAGTATTGTTTTACTGGACAGTATTAATTTCCTGGACTTTAACAAAGGAATTTCAAGTTAATAAATATCAAAAGTGACTAAATAAAGTAGTTTTACCCAAACATATACCATGTGATTGGACATTTTGGGGAAAAAAAAGCATTAAAACATATGTAACCCTGCCTTTATCTGGGTGAATCATGCTGGCTTGCAAAATAATTCACATCAGAATCTATTCAAATATGATCATTTTAAGATAAAACCTGTAATGCTAATATTGCCTGCAGTATTGTTCTGGGCCAATACTTTCTGAAGAGGCCAAGTCATGAAGGACCAATATTTTTAGAATCTGTATTTTTCATACCTTGGAATATTTGTGCTCTCCTTTTTTCCTTCTTTTTTTTGAAAAGCAGGAACCCATATATCCACTGAAGATTTTGTGGGCAGCTATTAAAATATTTTTATTATTAATGAATCCATTCTATGCATTTTCTTGTCCCCTTATAAATATTTATATTTTCAATATGTCTTCATTTAATTGAAAGGTTCTTTGCATTATTTTCAGACAACCTCAGGTAGCAGGTGTAATGACATATCAACACTCTGACCTTTGAGCTTCTGGATTTCTATTAGTTCCTTCACGTTTTGCTTGTACACCTATATTGTATTTTGTTTGTATACGATTTTCCTGTATAGCTTTATGGAATGAAGGGTGTTTCCTGTACAAAAGGCTAAATAAATTGGAAAGAAAGAAAATACGCTATTATCTACTAGCACCTATTAGCATTATGCAGAATGTGTCTTGAGTATTTTAACCAATCTGCACTGCTTCTACAAAACCACAATTGAAATAATGTTTGATATCTACATGGTCGGTCACAGAGGTTTTTTCAGTTGCTTCTCATTACTTAATTTACCATTGTTAGTGAATTTACCATGATTAGCGGATCCAGGCATATTTGTTTCTCTGACTCTTATAAATCTATTGCTTCAAATCCCTATGCAATTTAATTTCTAATTTCTGATCTTCCTTTGACTTGTCCAGATTTTTCTGGCACTCAGGTACAAGGCATCCAACTAATTGCCTTGTATTCTAATTTGCGCAGCTGTATTCATTGTTTATATCTGTATACATTGCTTATATGTGAAAGATTGTTAGTTTCATGATTTATGATTTCATATCTCCATGAGCATACCTCAAACTCATTTGTAAAACTGAATTGGTTGGATATACACCTATCACACTTTATGTGACATAGTTGGTAAGAGTGTCTCACTTGTTGCCTGAGTATGATCAAAAGAGTAAGTTCTAAATGTGTTTGCAAGAAATTGTTGATATTATGGTGAAGGACACAGTGGTAAAACTTAAATGTTGGCAGGTAACCTATTTATATCTACTATGGAGAGGCTGTTTAAGACACAGTGTATTCTAGCATAGGTGTTACTAGCTTCAAGAAATATTTAGTTTCCTTTCACAAAAATACGGACAGTTGATTAACATGTTCAAATCATTTGTATTTCTAATCAAATCCAGCTCATGTAATTATTTCTTTCTAGTACATTGTAGCACTTTTATTCCTGTCACTGTATTGAAAAATATGATATTTTACAGATAAACCATCTGTAGTTGACAAATCTGCTCACTAAAAGTGCTATGTAACATGAGGTGAGAACGCACTTACTAACTTGCACTGATTAATTCAATTTTATATGAATCACAATACCCACTTGCTGCTGTGTATCCCAAGGAAATGATGCTCAAATTCAGTAGAGATTGTATCTGGAAGATGTTACAGTTGAAAAGTACTGTTTTTTTCAATTTTCATTTAGCAATAAGATTTTTTGCTACTTTTTAATTCTAATAKCTCTTATACACTATATGAAGTCTTCTATGAAAACCTTTGTTTTTTATCACTTTTGAGATAAAGCATGTTCTTCTATTACCACACATGGATCCGTATATCATAACATTAAAAGTCCTGATTAACCTAAGTGTAATACTCTTGCAGCATTAATCAGAAAGTTAGTAAAATATACGATTTTGATTTTCCAGCTTGCATGAGTCCATGTCTCAAAGAATGAGCCTGAAAGATCAGCTTACCTGCACTTTTGGTGCTTCTGAAAGTGGTCTGAAAAGCAGGGAGGACACTGTGACCCTCCTRTATCGCCAGGTGGAAGAACTGAGAGCCCAACTGCAGCGAGCCCAGTTGCAGCAGAAGGACACGGAACTGGAGCTTCAGAAAGCCCTGGAGGCTTCACGGGAGGCTGATGACAAAATTCAGAAGTAAGTCCTTTGCTTTTTCCTAGGAAAAAAATCAGTGGATAGCTAAATGAAATATTGCTGCTTCTGGGAGTCTTCATGGACTGTCTCTTCTTTCCCATCATAAGACTCCCTACTGAAAAAGCTATTACACTTCCAACTTGCTCTGCTGAAGTCCTTCTTGTCATAATTGTTATTACTAGCATATAAGCTTTTGAAATTCTGGTTGTTGGGACATAGGCAGCTGTGTACACCCTGCTTTTTTATAGACTAGCCCTTCTATACCCACATTTCATCTGTCAGCTGCAAAATACCCTTTTCACATTCTTCTAAGACTCTCAATGCTCCCCCAGACAAAGTGTTTCCCTCATTTCATATTTGTCTTTAAGTTTTATGTCTGAAGTTATTTTCCAGAGCAGCTAGAAATTGGCCTATAATATGGTATGACCAAAAGTTCAAGCTGTTTAGAAGAATAAACAAACTGCTTAGTATTCTCATTTAAAAAAAAAAAAAAAACTTAATATCTTTAATTTATTTGTAACTAGGTAGTTAAGATATATATATATGAAAACACATATTTTCTGACATCATTTTAAAATTCCTTGTGGTTGTTTGATTCAGTTCTATATTCTGAGTTTATATCTCCAACTGAATTTACAACAATTTACCAATTTCTTGATAAGTTAGTGATTAAAATCATTAAGTCAAGCTGTGATTAAATTATAGTACTACTAATAATAATGGATAAATCTTTCTACTTTTCTGTGCATGTTTGAAGCTGTTTTGTTTCATTTCATTTTCTTTATAAAGACGTACTAAGAGTAGACTGGGAATATTGAAGAGAAGTTGTTTTTTGCTTTTTTTTTTTTTTAGAGAAATAGTCTTGTTTAATCCCATGTAAACAGGGTGACTTAATAGAAGTGCAGACAAAACCTGAATTAAAGTAGTGGTGATGGAGTGGTATAGTGAAAAGTATTTATGTCATTTAATATGCTCAGCTACTTGGGAAAATTTTGATCAGGTTAGTTTTCATTATTTCTAAGATCAGCCCACTGCGCCTATAGCGAAATTAAACAATTGAGTGAAGTCTTTTGATGACAATAGCCGGCCTTTTTTATCAAGAAACTGTGGAAATGCTCTGTGCGTCTTCCCAGCACCCAGAGTCATCCACCCCCATCTTATAATTCAACCTGCAAACAGATTAAGCAGCTGAGTTTGTGGAAAGTGTGTTTACTTTGAGCTAAGAACCCTTGTGTGACACTATAGAGATTCCTCTGACACCTCTGGGAGAACTACACAGACAGTCCTTACTCATCATCAGGGAAACCAGGCTGAGAATTCCTAATTTCTTTGTAACCTCAACTGCTTTATACGAATCAGTGTTTGGCAATTAGGCAGGAACTCATTTGTTAGCTTGGCTTTTTATTTTGAAGATGTAGGATGTTCTACATTTCAAAGAGGAACTGCAAATTTTAAAACTTGGCAACTGAAAGGCTTTCTTGGAATTAATTGTAGTAATATTAATTATTAGCACGGTCTTAAAAGTGCGCTTGTTGCGATTTGAAATGTGAAACTCCAATTCATAGCCTAAATGTGATTCCAAAATGTCTGTCCACCTTTTTTTTTAAATGACCAAGCACAAATTAATTTTGACAGATGGTACGAGTATTTCAGCAGTGTTAAGTAGTTATAGCTTAAAATAGCTGTTAAGTAGTTTCTTAGTATTAGTCAGTGAAATGCTTGGTTAATGCACTAACAATTAAAAAACAGAAGAGAAAAATCATTATGAACTTCATTAAAAAAGGACATAATTAGAATAATTTAAAACTTTGAGACAGTATTTGAGACAGTGAGCCTGTTTGGGCATCTGTGTCATTCGGTAGTGTTTGCTAAGCCTTTGATAATCTGTTTTCTGACAACACTGCGGAAATTTTTAGATGTTCTTAAAAACTTCAGTGTTTATAGTCCATATCACATGCTGAATCGGAAACAGTTTTGTTTTCTCCATGATATCTCCATGATTTTATCTATTTAGGTATTCAATAAGGAGTTTACCTGCTGCAATTGTTGCTCTCAAAGGGAGCGTTCCTAGCCAGAACGGCAGTGCTGTGTTTTGCATAAGAGCACAAAGCATCTAAGAAATTTCTGGATCCCATCCCACATGAAACAGCAGCTGTGAGCCAGAAGGGGGATATATTGGAATCTGTCTGTAGTGAACTTGGCTATAGTAAAATTCTGTTCGTACTAAAGCGGAGGGAACATCTCGCAGCAGCTCATTGCAGTGTGATAAGTGAATTGCAACCGTGTACACTCGCTGGAGAAGATGGTTCACAGTCCCAGCAGGGCTGGTGGTGTGAAAGAGAAAATACTCCTGGTCAGAGAGCGGCCCCACAGCTTTGTGCAGCTTTAATGTGCATCTATTTTGATTTTAAATAGCTAACAGGATGCATATCTGACTTTGAAGAGCGCAATCTTGTAGTTTAATATTGTAGTTTAGAGAGCAAGTACAAATTTTGACTGTGTGCTGTTTGTAAAAATATACATATTTACTAATACATCTGGGGTGTATATATTATATATATACACACATATTCAATGGGAGATTATAACAATCTGTGGGGTGCTAAATATATATCATATTCTGCAGAGTTGCTATAACTGAAATTTTCTCCTTTTTTTTGTTATTGTTTATATCTCTGTTCCAAACAAAGGATTAGGGCAGTGGCATGCAATTTTCTAGGAGTGCTGGCACAGAGCCACAGGCCCCCTGCAAGTTTGTCCTGCCCGAGGAGGCTGGAGCCAGCTGGTGCAGCCCCAGAAGGGAAATGGGGTTGACCTGGAGAAGGTGCCTGCCTGGAAAAGCCTGTGAATYAATTAGTGTTTCTGCCAGCAAGAGCTGGAAGAAGCGAGATATTCTAAAAGTGTCCTTCCTGCTGCAACCTCTGGGACTGAGGAGTGGCTACTGGTGTCAGTGAGATCAGAGGAGRTTACAGTGTGATACTAAATCAATATTAGCCAATTAATCGGTAAAGGTGGAGGCCATTTTTCATGTATTTTTTCCAGGGACGATAGCTTGGAAGCTGGGAGAAATCTTAAATCTGAAGTTTCTCTATTGAAGGTTTTTATTTTGTATTTCAGTCTAATAATTCTAGTCCAGTAAAATTTAGCTTGGTGTGTGTGAGCCCTGTCATGCTTGCACTCACAYGGCTTCTGTGATAGCAGAGGGAGGACGTACAGAATTTCTGTGTAAACCTCTAAAAGCAAACACGAGCCACAAGATAATAGTGCAATGCTAGAATATGCATATGTAAAAATAGGCACAAATGTGCTAAGCATACTGCTTGGACACTTTGCCAAGCTACTTCTTACTGTCAAGAAAGAAAATGTACTGAAAGTGATGTATAATAGAAATTCTGACATGATTTATCCTTAACCGTTTATTGAAGAGATCTYTTTCTTTTGATTTTGTATTTGTTTGTATTGAAGGGGAAGTCAGGGAAGTTGTAGATACAGTCGACAAAATGCAAGAGGAAATTAAGCTATCCTGTGGATAAGTAGATAATTTTATCAAAGGAAATTATTGTCTCTCATAAAAGAAATATTACCTTTAATAGCAGTCGTTTGCTCTACCTCTTTTTTTTTTGATAGCCTAACTTTCATTGTTAGTGTTAGATCGCACTTATTTCTCACTGTTCCTGGGTTTCCTCCAGCGTTTCTGAGCACGCTTTCTGTGCTTCCCTAGTTGTTCACTTAATTTCTTTTCTTAACTGATGCTGTTAAACAAGTCCACCAGTGAGAAAGACAAATATATACCGTTCTTCCCAGTATTTCACTTATTTGAAAATGATGCTGAAATGAAAAAAAAAAAAAATAAGGAGCATTTATTAAATGATCAGAATCATCATCTTCTTCAAGGTGAAACAAAAGTGCCTTCGGAGGACAGGAATTGTRTGCATTCCGCATCCATGGCTGGGACTCTCTCCAGTGCCCGCTGCTGGGCCTAATCTTCCCCAGCATGAGCTGAGTGGTGTAGTTCAAGAACAAGAAAGAATCTTTGAATAATCTCGCCACAATGTGAGATGACCCTCTGACAGGGCACTGACCAGATACACATATGGGTTTGGGGAAGCCGCTCTGATGCTCTTTTTTAACACAGCTGTGAGAAGAATGTGGCTTAGACCTGCTGGTCTTTCTGGAGCAGAGCTGGCAAAGGAAACCATGAGGAGAAGGGAATTTAACACATGGGTGTAAGAGAGTCCGCTTCATTGATACGATCTGAGGGGAATGTCTAATGACTGGAAGAATCAAACTTGGCAATGAAAACACAAAGCTCTTTTCATCAATTCAAACGCAGGCTCTAAAGCTGCAGATGGTTACCTCCAGCTTTGCCTATTCAGCGTGGGGTTGTATAAAATGGCACTTTGGTGAATACTAATAGATCAAAACAAAGATTTAATAACATAAAGATGTGGTTTTCATTTTGAAATGAGGATACAGGTCAGTGTCTCAGAAAAGGGTAAAATGAGTATCTTTATATACAGGTCTAAAGTCCTTGGAAATTTCTAACTGCAAACATGGTATCTTTAATGCACAGATTGTATTCAGTACAGCATAGCTATGTGGGGAGCAAACTAAAAGCAAGTTTTCTGAATTATTATACTGACAGAACTGCTTTCCGACATGCAAATGTCGTTAGCTAGTTATCCCTCCTTTAAAATCATACCTACGTATATTTGGTTGAAGAATTAGCTTGTATGCTTTCAGTCACTTGTTATAAATAAGAATGAAGCCAGTTAATTAGAAATTGCAGGCAGAAACACTGCACAAAATAAATAAGTTGTACATTCACTGGGTTGCAAAGCTGTTTGTTTTGGAGGAACCATCAAATGCTAAAGAACTCAGTTGACTTTAAATTTTRAATTTTAAATTTTAAATTTTAAAGATACACTTGTGTAGTTTTCATCTTTTAAAACACTAAATATAATTTGGCTTGTTATTGTTAAGCTAATACCTTTAGATGTTCA